ACTTTATTTTCGTTTATACGTACGATTGCGCATGTGGCTCCTTCGTAGTTAGAAGATACTGGATCTAAAGATGCCCCTTGCGAAGTTGATAAGTGTATTCGCTGAGAATTTTTCGGCGAATATGAACGTTTGTTGGATGGTTTCTGCGACATTATCGATCAAATGCCGTTTTCTGAAGAAAAGACGCGGAGGGCGGCGTCAACTTGTTCGTGTCGATTCCACGCCAGGAACTTGGGTTAACTGTCCGAAATTTGAAACATCCCCGCTCACTACTTTAGGACTCCCAGTTGCATCACTGCCACACTATGCGGCGTTCGTCCGCTTCATCGTTTATTTACCCTGTAAACGCACCACCCTCCCTTTTTTCTTTCCCCCGACCTGAAGCAATGAAAGCGCGCACTTGGCTGCTCGTCATCGCGCGTTTCCTGCGCGACTGCTTCTTATTCGCCTGGTCGTCCTTGCGTTCCGACGTGCCCTAGAAGCATTCTGGAAGACCTGCATGCCGTATAAAAAAAATGTGTGTGCCTCTGTGTATCGTGAGAAAGGGAGAGAGAGAGAGAAAGGAAGGGCGCATTAGGAGACTATGGCATATTAAATCGAAAAGCCGAGCTGTTCTTCTAATGGGCAATAAGGGCCTCTCTTCACGGAAGGCTTGCGTTCCTCATGTCCCTGGCGTGCACCCGTTTTTCTGTGGAAGAAAGCCACATGTCGCATGACGGGCCTCTGTATCATTTAAAAAGGACCAGATACGAAAAAAAAAAAGTCATCGTCCATAAGAAAAAAACAAAACAAAAACTAAAAAACACGAATTACACACACCCACACACTCGAAAAACAAAAAAAGTTAATGCGCACTTGGTTTGACGGGTTACGCGAGTTACGTGTGGATAGCTCTGAAGGAGAATTCACACAAGAGCGCGCGTTGCGCCTGCACGCCTTTTTGGGTGGACAGATAGCACGTTTTTCAGCCGCTTTCTGCCGCTTTATAACGAACATGCGTGGGATGCCCGTCACGCCCCTGATGCTCGGCGGCCTTCCTTAGAAGCTGTTTCCCATGGCAATCGCAATATTTCTCCCCCCCCCCCCCTCCCCTCAAAAAAAAAAAAATAATAAAAAATAAAAAAAAAATATATATCTCGTACGCTGAAAGGCGTTCGAAACGATCGGATGCGTTTTGAGAGACGTCATATCCGCCCTTATAAAAAGACGCGCACGCGCACTGCGTGCTCTATTCGGACAGGCCTCGGCGACGCGCGCCTTCTTTCTCCCCCTCGTGCGCGCGATGTTTTCCCGAATCGCGGGTCATTAAGGCACGGCGTCTCGCTGCGGAGCCAGACGCGGCTGGCCTCGGCGGCTCCTGTGCGTCCCCTCCGGCCGCCCGGGCGCCGCCGACGCACCGCCAAACTCCCGTTCGCATTACGATGCACCGCAGCTGACGCGACGAACCGTCCGAGCCTGTCCAATGCCACGGGAGTCTAAAAGTGACCTTCGCGAGGACCGTAGTCACGTGATATGTTCTCAGCGCTGGATTGGCTGGGACTGCTGCTAGCACCCGCGGCGGTTCATCGCCAAGTGAAACGGGGTATAGCGGCTCTCCCCCGGGTCGATATGCGAGGCTCGCCGGCCCTCTCGCCGTCGCCTTCTCGCCGTCGCCTTCTCCCGCTGCCAGTCTCTCTGGCGGGATTCAATGCGTTCATTTCGACTGGCTCTAAAGCTCCCCATCTTCCCCTCCGCACGCGCGTTTGCCTGCCTTCCGGTTTGGGCCGAGGACGCGAATATTGAGCCGCGCCTCCTTTTTTTTTTATCATCTTGCTCCTCTTCGTCCTGCCGGTGGCCGCTGTTCGCTTTTACGCGCAGACCGACGCGTGCACCGGCGAAACTCGATACGTGGGTGAGGCTGAAAGGAACGGCTGCGCCGTGTCGGCCAGCAAGGAGTGGTAGGAATCTTTTTTTTTTTTGTTTGGGGGGGGGGGGGGGGGGGGGGGTAGGTTGCAGTTGGAGACGCGTAGATCGTGTGGCAGAAAACACCCCTGGGATCAGCGTTTGGCAGTGGATGCAGCAAAAATGTTTCTTCGTACTTGGGAGAGGATGCGTACTGCTGATCGCGCATAGCGTGTATTGTACTGGTATACTAGAACATAAATTGTTGGTCGATCGATGTTTATTGCTGCGACTTACATTATCTAGCCAAGCTCGCAGCCCCATTGGCCTACTGGGTCCGAAAAGTCCCCGAGCTTACGGGATTTGCGTGGTGTTTGCAGGCCATTTAAATAGTCGCCTTCTGCGGTTTTGCGTAGTGGACTGTGGAACTCGTTTTTGAGCATGGCTGCTAGCTCTCTTCTGCGGAATGCCAGGCGTCGTACCCACAGCTCGGTGACACTCTATTTTTCGCCTCGGGTGATGAGTCCTGGGAAGGTATCTGCTGGGGAATTAACTCTTCGCGTGGTGTTCGTCGAGATAAATACACTCTGAATGAATCACCGCACGTTTCTGACGCCCGGGCAGGGGCGCTGACTGCTGGACCGGCGTGCGTCGTTTATCTCCTCAACAAATGCTAGAGTAGACTCGAGAGACGTTCTGTGGTCTGGATGGTTCATGCGGACCTTGGCCAACACCAGGCTTATACTCTGTTAGCGACGTCTCTTTGAGAGTCTAGGCTTTCTTTAAAGGGATACTGGGATGAAAATTGAAATATACCTCTCACGTTCAGAAATGAGTTAAATACGATTAACAAAACTAGTCGCAATCGCACGTTTGCATTTTGAAGGGATGGCTATATTTTCCGTTCCAAACGACCTTTTTCAGCGAGCGCTCGGAAGACCGGCCATCGGAGGACGCGATGCGTCTTGGGAAATCCGGCGCCTGCAGCCCGTTCGCGACGTGATGTTTACTTTCACGGGCAAATCTACATGGAAGCTGGCGCGGTTGTGAGCTTCGCCATTCGGTGTTGTCAACGCGTTCCAACTTGACCGTTCGGGATGCCCGCTTCCCGCAGGATTTGAATAGGCACCGGAGAGAAGGGAAATCCGGTTCGTCCACGTTATGAAAGGGCTCACAAGGGCGCAGCTTGTCGCCGTACTTCCGCGGGCGCGGCTCTGCTTTTATGGGTAGTTGCACCTTAAGAACATTCGGTTTATTCGTTTTAAATAATGCCTCGGTGTCTTTTCGAGCACAAAATAGGTATCTCTGTGGTGTGGCCAGAACGTGTTTCACGTTTTGATATTCAGATAGGCGCTGGAATTTCGTTGCAGTACCCCTTGAAGGCTCGAAAGAAGCTAGTGGTCTCTTACACTCCGCTCAGCCCTAAGCTGGCAGTGCGCTGGGAGCGACGCTCCCGCCGGACCAGGGAACCGCCTCCCTTTAATTTTAGTTTAATGGCAGCGCTCCCAGCTCGTGGGTATGGAGGCGGGAGCGCCTTGACTTGGCGAAAGATAGATGGATACGGCTGGTCCATCGAGCGTATGGCTTCCAGCGCACTGTCGGCTGAGGGGTGAACGGATTCTAGTTGGACGTTGGCTGCATGCTAATGGAAAGCTTCAGGTAGAGGCGGCTTTTCCAGGACTCTTCTTCCCGAAACGAGGCTGGTCATGATGATCTCCGTGCTGTTTTGTGGCCTATTTATTTTTTATTTATATTTTTATTTATTTATTTTTTTTTTCAGTTGAGCACGACGCATGACTCTTCTCAAACTCTAGACGTTTCTTTCGTCACGTTTTCTGTTTCTTGTGGATGTTTTGCGCCGCGTCGTTCTTTTGTTTTATTGGTTCTGTTTGTTTGTTTTTGCGTTTATTCTGGGGTCGACGGTGTCTCCTACGTCGTATGCAAAAACGTTTCCTTGTTCTCGTCTCACGCAGCGCATGTTGCCCACCGTTGCACCCACGTTTTCACAGTTCGTCTCTTGTCGGGCATCACCCCCTGCCGCCATTTTGTTTTCGGCGCACCTTGGACATTGTCGTCTGCCTCGTTCCGTGCTGCAAAGCCGGAGTCCCGTTGCTCGTACATCGTACAAAAGGCCTCATGTTCGCTGTGGACATTATGACAGCATTATCTCAGGGCACGCCTGAAGTGTGCTCGAATCAGGTTTGCTTCATACATGCTTCGAGCATGCCTGCAGATTGCCTTTTGCACGATATACTAGCAGTATGACTGCGGCTTCAGATTTATGCCATACACATAACTATATGTATATATAATATTTTTTTTTATTGCGACGGCGATAGGTTGAGGATTGTTACAGGGACACTGAAGTCAATTTCGAGTTACCAGTTGCACGATGTTGGACGGTCGCTGATGGCACCTTCCCACAGTTGCTGGGAAGAGTTTCGGGGGGTCTGTGAGGGGCTTTTGATGGGTCACAAACGGTAGGCGCAGGCATAATGAGAACACTATCGGAAGCGACCAATTCAACTTTAGAAAAGTGAATGGAAAAGGACGCAACGATGCAATTGACAAATGAAGACGAAGAGGAGGATAGTTCCGACTCTTTTCGGTCGAGTGGGCAGCTAGCATTCTGCAGCTTCGCTAGTTTCCATTGCCTGTTTGCGTAGAAAGTTCTACGGCAACACCTAGTAATTGCCGTAGAACTTCCATATATATATGCTTCTTTTTTTTTTTAAATCGCAGAATTTTTGTTTTGTTTCTAGCCATGAAGCAAAGAACAGTGCAGACTACGTAGTTTCTCTCAGTGTTCTGTTCCTTTTTTTTTTTTCGTCCTCCTTTTTGGATACGAATTTTTTGACGAACAGATTGAGACGTCGTCGTGTTTCTTCCACCCAGTCTCAGGTGGTCTAAAAAATGGTAAAGATCAAAACACTTGTCTAACAATTTCGGACAGAAAATAAAGTTATTCTTGTGACCCTTCTCGCATTCGTTAAACGTGATAATTCGAGACAAAATCTTTAAGATTGTCTTCAGTGTTCCTTTAAGGTGGACGAGTGTGGTTTCTGAGTGCTGGCCCTGCTCTCCTCTTTCTCTGCGGCTCTCCGCTTCTCCGCGCACAGCGAGCTTTTCTGGACGGCCGTAAGATCTCGTCGGAGGCCGAGCACGGGAGGCTCCGCAATTGCGTGCGCTACTCTCTGCTGGTAAGTCCCTTGAACGTCGCGAGGGGGCGTGGTCTTTCCACACTCTTCCTGTCCCTCCCTCTCTCCTTCCTTACTTCCTGTGATTTCTGCTGACGCTTCTTCGTGTCGGTTCTTTTCCGCGAAGTAGGCCAAATGGAAGTAGACTTGAGCGCGCGATGCTCGCGCTTCCGCGCGCAGGGCTGCTATGGACGTGCTGTTGTTGGAGTCGGAAAGTGTCGGAATCGCCGTCTGGTAGATGTTAATCACGACACGCAGTGATTAAACTAAAGCTCTACAGTTGCAAGCAGGCTCGACGCTCGTTCTACGCAGCAATTCTTCTGGATATATTTTTCTGTAAAACTGAAAACAAAAAGAACACGAAATTGAAAGAACGCGACTGGCGGAGCGCGAGTTGGGATTACACACCGTTTCCACAGGGGCGCAGTCATCTTGAATGTCGTCACTTCTGGTATGCGGTAAAACATCGTTACGATCTCTCGGCGGCGCCAGAAAGTGTTTTCAAAAAAAAAAGCGCGATCGTTACACATTTTTGTTTTGCCTCACCTATATTTTTGCGCATATTCCAGGTAGAAATATTTTATTATTTTTTCGTCCCGCATAGCAGACAGGGAACCCACGTGACTGAGAACTATAGGAAACAGAAACCATCTTATCTGAGACTGCAGCCAGTACCACAAGCATGGGAGCTCTAGGTCGCTGCTTCGAAGCGTTCTTCCTCAGAATAAGCACTCGCGCTAGAAATGAGCGTCTCAAAACCAGGAGTGCGGTATAGCTCGTGCTTGTAGCTTTGGTTGTGGTCTCAGCTTAAGGGTGAACGGAGTATAGACGCTTTGCAGCAGCTGTGCATGGACGCCGCCATAAATGACCTTCAGTTTTTGTTTCCTCTTATTTCGTTTATTTCACTTCATCATTACCATAACAGGTCAGATTATTGCTACATTAGACTCAACTGGGTCCTTTTCTAAAGCAGCGGCCTTTGTAGAGGATCGTCAAGTACCGTTTCAGTTGCTCGGCATCTCGGTAAGACAAGAGAAGGTCAGCAATGGCGGCTGTAATTTGGCGCGTGTGTAAAGCGTCTATCGATTCGTGTACTGCTTCTGGCTAACCATGGGCTGTGAATAATCACCTAGAGATGTAGGTGAGTAAAAACCGCAAAGCCTGGTCAGTCACCCAGCTTAAACGTTACTAAAGTCAAAGGTTATTAACACTAGGTGACTGAAAAGGCAACGCACATGATGATCTGGTGACGAATACAGCGGGCGTCTGTGGGCCTTCTCACTGAGTTAGTTTTAAAGTTTCCCTTCTTCATGCGGGTTTTTTGTCTTCTGCCCCCACATTGCTTCGGTTTTGATCGCGCTTGCGAGCGATTGTATATCTATTAGCGGCGAGATGTTTCTGTGGCGCCCTCGTTCGGTTAGCTTTCGTGACTTCATTACCTCGCGATGAACAAGTCCGCTGGTGTTTGTAACTGGCATGGTGGAAGCCTGAAATCATAGCGCTCTCAAAGCAACATTGTCAACACCGTTAAAGTTGAAGTTCTTACATTCCTCTTATTTCCGTCGATGAGACATTCTTTGCTGACGTCAGAGTCAGCATTCAGCCAATTGTGGTGGGCCAACTACAGCGACGCTTTGGATCGCTCACGTCACCAATAGTTTGCGCTCTAACCGGTTGGGAGACATGCGGCTCCGGTGGCGAGGGCTGCTGTAAACAGGCGTACCCTCGCTCTTCCCTTTCACCGAGCTCTCTCTGGATATGATCTTAAAATGAGGACCTCTTAAAAGTTCGTAACCTGTGCCGCGCCGCGCATTCTCGTCTAATTTTGTTCTAGGTGTTTTTGTGGCAGAGTTTTTGCAGGAAACGTTATAGACGCGCGAATGTACCATTCGCTAAATTACCCAAGCATCAAAGTGAACGCTGGGAACGTAGGTACACGCGCTGCACGTGCTCGCCTTCCCTATAGAGAAGATTCAAGGTACATAACCAAAATATAGCATTCGTGGAACGCGCGTGCGAAATGCCATTTGGTTTAGATTTTTGCTTTCGAACATGAGCAGACGCCAGCAGGCGCATCGCGTGTATCTACGTTCCCGGCATTCTCTTTCGTACATGGGTAATTCGGCAAAAAAGGTCTATTGTGTTTGCACTTCCAAATTCGCGGGCGAATCTGCGCGAGTGGAAAGTGGATTTTAGAGCCGGCTCGCGAAATCGACTTGTCGCTGGCGGAAAATCTGGATCGGTCCGGGACCCATATCCAGATTTTGCGCCAGCGACAAGTCGACTTCGCCAGCCGGCTCCAAAATTCACCTTCCGCCTGCGCGGATATACCCGCGAATCCGCAAGTGTAAACGCGCCAGAAAGGTGCGCCATGTTGTCTCCCATTCGTGCTCGCTGAGAAGTATATGGCTACCCCGGAAACGAGGCTCGGCATCCATTCGCTCCGGGCGATCAAAACGAGCGAGGCAAGAATTCCGGTTCCTCGCCGTGTCAATGAACTGCGGCGACGACCGGGACGTCGCGCACTGCTGAACAGTTACACCGCGGTTTCTAAATTCGGCGTGCTTACATTTCTCTAACTCGAGCGGGCAGCATTCCTTGAAACTGTGACGTCCCGAGACAGTTAATTCCCGCTAAATTTACGCGTAATTTAGGTGTCGCGTGGCTTCATAATTTCACGTAACGTCAATACTTTCCCAATAAATTTAGCGGGGAAATGTTTTGACTAAATTTTGAGGGAAGGATTTTTTCGTGACGTCATACCTCATGATGTCATATGACCTCACGGCCCTACGCTAAGCACACACGGGATCCGGGGCGAAACCTCGATATACTACAGCTATCGGCGGCAAAACAAGAAGTTTGCTGCTAGGCTTTGTCGGAATAAAGGGGCGTTCGGCGAGATGGTAATGAGGGAGAAAAGCGTCGTTAGTGCCCAAGGAGGAGATCTGTTTAAGTCGACAATTATTTCTGTCTGCATTGCTCGGGCTCGGAAGACGAGGCAAAGGGGACGCTAACGGGGTAATTGCGGGCGGGTCCGAGTGTGCCATTAAGGTCTTATTTTCGTCTCGGAACGAGGAAGAACGAGCTCGTTTCCCAGCGAGGGCACCGAGTCGTCGTTGTCATTTTCCCGCCGTGCTCGCTTCTGGTCTGTCCAACCGCTTCCAATTTGCATGCGGATATATATGCCTGCATTACGTCCGACTAATGGTCATTGCCACCGCGTGCTTGTTCTGGCGAGGGGATAGAAAGCGTAACTAGCCGAGTGCTGCGGCTGTTGTCCAAACTTGTTTTTCAATAGTCGAAACTGTGGTGCCTGCGAGGAGTTTCCGTCGTGTTTGTTACGCGTCCTGTACTGACCATGCATAGCGCCTCAGAATTTGACGGAACGCGTCGTAGTAGCGGCCTTCGCGTAATGCTGCGGGTCGCCGCGATCCTGGTGGTTGATGGTAGAAGCGCCGGTGAAGTAGACGATGGACGCAGGCGTCGCCTACGTCGCTGCGTGGCAGCCCGTGGATGTTGAAGTTTTCATTCAACTGACTGGCTGTAGCTCAAGCTGCAGAAAAACGGGTGTCTGTCATAACTACGTCCACTGCTGCGCCAGTACCGGGTTCGCAGCTGTCCGCGGCATGACACGCTTGTGATGTCAGCAGCCGAAAATCGAGGGACAACAGCAAAAGCGCGGCAAACGCACCTCTATAGCGTTTCGGGCTTCTTAAAACTCCAGCTTTCATATTCAAAGACTGCATTCTTGGATCGCTTTTAGCCGGAGAAACGTGGTTTGATACAGTGACGACTATGAAGTTATACTCAAACCTGTAGTGCTTCGGAGTTGAGGCCGTAACTTTGATATGTGCTTGCCACCGCGCATTCAGCGCAATCTTAAAGAAACCCGTGCAATTTAGCCTGGCGTTTTAATTTAACAGGATTTTGTGTGTGTGCGTGTGTGTGTGTGTGTGTGTGTGTGTGTGTGTGTGTGTGTGTGTGTGTTTCGGGTTGGTGGTCGTCGTGAAACTTGCAATTTTGTACTCTATCATGTTATGCCGACTAGAGTAGGTGTGAGGAAACAATACGTCTAAAATAAATGTGAAGCAACTGGAGGCCAGGCTCGCTGCGGCAGCTCTATGCAGCTATTGGCGGCTTTCGAATCGGATCAATTTATTCGCTCTCACGTGGTCAACAGACTATTCTTAAAGTCGATTGCTCGTTACTTGCTGAAATAACGACTTTGCTGTTTATAGTGTCTAAAAAAGAACGAGTTGCTTTTTCCTCAAAGTAACGCGTTGCCTTTCAATGTACATGTTAGAGTAACTTCACGCTACATGCTGAAGCAAAGCGTTACTATCACGCTACCGGTTCGAGTAACTGCAGGTACTCGATCTTAGAATGCGGCGTGAAAAAGTCACGGGTGGCCTTCCTGAATTTATAAAATTCACATGGAATGAACTAAGCTGGTCGATTTTGCTTGCTCTTGCTTGCGAGGGGAGATCGGTGGCCAAGTGAGCTAGCGCGCAGAATCCAGGAACATGGGATAAGTCTCAGCCCTCTCCCCGTTTCGATCTGGATGAGCATTGTACCGGCGTGCGGACTGCGTGGTGCACGTTAAAGGCCCCGGCTAGCGGTTGCACTGCACTGGCTTAATTGCTCATCTACAGCTGAGACACCAGACGCCCATTGGGGTTGACTAAGTTCCGGTTGTGTAGACCATACGCACAACACAATTTATGCTGGCAAGGGTCAATTAGGAGCAGTAGTAGGAACTTGAAGTGTTCTGCCATAAAGTCCCTTGATAGTTTTGGCTGCCTCGCTTTGAGGACGCCTGTCTTTGTTTGTCATTTTGAAGCCCCTGAATTGCCGCGTAAATAGAACACGTGTTGGCCAGGGGAGAGGACGGGGAATACGGTTGTATGTTGCTTAGAAAAATTAAAAAAAAAACTAAACATTGTGACAGCTGGTTACTCGGATAAAAGAGTTGCTGAAATTCCTTCCTCATCGCGAAAAAT